TTTATTATAAAACTCCAAATTGGTTTGTTTTTATAAATAATAATATCTGCCCGGCAAAATATTTGAAGTAAGTATGTAGATTAAGATCATCAGACTTTATTACACTGATGAGGTGTATTGGTTCTCTTCACTTGTCTCTTTCTGGCTCTCTTTCTCTCTCTCTCTCTCTCTCTCTCTCTCATTGGGACTGAAAAAGTATTGAATGTAATAATGTTTGATAAATAGATAAAACAGGATTCCTGTCCTTCTTGTACTTCGTAAATATAATACTTTACCTTGCTTACAAGTTAATTGCAAGCTCATTGTATAGATCAATTAAGGGAATAGCAATAAATATGGACTTTGAGTGAGATCAAAATGGGTTTGACATCAGTTTTTTCTTTTTCAAAGATTAAAAAAAAAGCAACAGCTGGGTGTCGAACCCGATACCTTCCAGTTACCAGGCGATTGCCTACCCACTAGACTAAAGTGTCACATTGCTAATCTCCATGTTTTTTTTCCATACTTATACTTATTGTTGTAGATGTAGCAAAAGAAAAAAACGCAACAGCTGGGGGTCGAACCCGATACCTTCCAGTTATCAGACGATTGCCTACCCACTAGACTAAAGTGTCACATTGCTAATCTTCATGTATTCTTCATACTTACACTAATTGTTGTAGATGTAGCAAAAGATGTTTTCTGACTAATTCAGAGAGTCGCTTGTTAAAGAAAGAGTATTACATGCTATTTTTTCTTTGTTGAGGGGGGGGGGTGTCCCCTTTAAAAAAGAGATGACAAGTAAATATTATGGAGTGAAGGAAAAAAAATAACATGGGTTTATATAAAGGAGAAACTGAGACTCGAACCGAGTACATTGCATTGTGAAGCGATCACTTTTATCCACAAGACCATTTTGCCTCACCGTGATAACTGGTTCGCTTTTTGTTGTTAACACTTTCTGCATGCTAATGACTTTACAAAATGTGCCGATTTACTGATTTGACGCTTTCGGGATTATTGCCCGTATTTTTTTTCTTTCAGTTACTGATATTACTGATATAATAGTGAGGTTTTATGTTTATTTCATTTAATTTGCAAACTGCTGACTTAAACTTAAAGTGATATGACAAGAGGCCACTGCCCTCACATAGTATAATGAATAGAACACGGGTCTATTCAATTCAGTATATGCTACGAATTCTATAACAGGGCACCAATGAATAGGGAAGCTTGGCTATTCGATTCTGTTTTCAATAGCTTGCACCTGCAATTTTTGAATAGTTACGTAACAAACTACTCAGCTCTTTCTGACATGGCATCAATAATATTAGTGAATTGAAAACAAACCTGACCCTCCCTTCATTGAGCGACTTTTGTTTGGTCAAATGCGAGGATTACCAAAGAGGAGGTAATAATAGCATTCCTGACATTGCAACAATGACCGCGTTATTTTGATGCATTGTCCCTAAACCTACCGAAGAGGCTCTTTGTCCTTGTCTGGGAGGACAAGCACTTTAGACTGGGGCTGTAGTCTCATTTAAAGAAAGGGAAACAATTTCGGGACAGTTCAAAATAATGCTTGGAAATGGAAATTCAAATGATACCGTTTTAAAAACCAGAAAGATATGGTTTGAGGACAAGAAGCAGGATGTAATTCATTGCTCGGCAATCTTGACTGTATTTAAAACAGAGCATCCAATATACCTGATATTTAATAGTACTGTACAATGTCAATTAAATAAAATAACTAAATAAACAAACAAATAATGGACCTCTTTAGCCAAGACTGTGGATTTTTATTGTTGAGCACTAAATGATTCTGCTCGGTCATACAGGCTAGGTGGGGGAATGCTTTCAATAGACTTAAATTTGAAAGGCCCTTTGTATCACTTCGTGCAAAATGACATAGGGCGCTTCTAATAAATTTATACGAGAAGTAAATCCCTGTTCATCATTGTTTTCGTGTTGCAAAGTTGTTTACAGACTGAAAAAGGGATAGTACGGGACTGTAGAGAGTGAATAAAACTAGGAAATTATAATTGAAAATGTAAAACAACGTTGTAAACCTAGCAATAAGAGGCTCTTGAATCCAGTTTTTAAATGGACATGGCTTTGGGCTACCCGCTACCGCCGCCAGGCTAGGCTGTCGATTGCCAGCTAGCTGTCGATTGCCAGCTAGCTGTCGAGATGGGACCCCCCTGGCGATTAATGTGGGGGGGGGGGGAGGGGGTGATTTTTCAAATTTTCGAGGGCCAAACAAACAAAAATAGTGCTCTCTACCCCTCCCCCTTCCCCCTCTACCACTGAGTGAAATATCGGCCGGCACGATTTTTTTTTATTTCAGCACATTAAATTTCAAATTGATTTCAAGTTTGGGCCCCCCTAAGAAATCCTGAATCCGCGCCGATACCCACCCCCCCCCCCCAAATAAAAATCCCAAGGCTCCCCTGTAGTTTTTTCTACATTGCTCCCCCCCCCCGCAAAAGGTCCGTTTTTTTCTCATTGTTTTACATCAACAACAACAACAACAATAATATTTATTATAAAAACTCCAAAATTGGTTTGTTTTTATAAATAATAATATCTGCCCGGCAAATATTTGAAGTAAGTATGTAGATTAAGATCATCAGACTTTATTACACTGATGAGGTGTATTGGGTTCTCTTCACTTGTCTCTTTCTGGCTCTCTTTTCTCTCTCTCTCTCTCTCTCTCTCTCTCTCATTGGGACTGAAAAAGTATTGAATGTAATAATGTTTGATAAATAGATAAAACAGGATTCCTGTCCTTCTTGTACTTCGTAAATATAATACTTTACCTTGCTTACAAGTTAATTGCAAGCTCATTGTATAGATCAATTAAGAGAATAGCAATAAATATGGACTTTGAGTGAGATCAAAATGGGTTTGACATCAGTTTTTCTTTTTCAAAGATTAAAAAAAAAGCAACAGCTGGGTGTCGAACCCGATACCTTCCAGTTACCAGGCGATTGCCTACCCACTAGACTAAAGTGTCACATTGCTAATCTCCATGTTTTTTTTTTCCATACTTATACTTATTGTTGTAGATGTAGCAAAAGAAAAAAACGCAACAGCTGGGGGTCGAACCCGATACCTTCCAGTTATCAGACGTTTGCCTACCCACTAGACTAAAGTGTCACATTGCTAATCTTCATGTATTCTTCATACTTACACTAATTGTTGTAGATGTAGCAAAAGATGTTTTTCTGACTAATTCAGAGAGTCGCTTGTTAAAGAAAGAGTATTACATGCTATTTTTTCTTTGTTGAGGGGGGGGGGTGTCCCCTTTAAAAAGAGATGACAAGTAAATATTATGGAGTGAAGGAAAAAAATAACATGGGTTTATATAAAGGAGAAACTGAGACTCGAACCGAGTACATTGCATTGTGAAGCGATCACTTTTATCCACAAGACCATTTTGCCTCACCGTGATAACTGGTTCGCTTTTTGTTGTTAACACTTTCTGCATGCTAATGACTTTACAAAATGTGCCGATTTACTGATTTGACGCTTTCGGGATTATTGCCCGTATTTTTTTCTTTCAGTTACTGATATTACTGATATAATAGTGAGGTTTTATGTTTATTTCATTTAATTTGCAAACTGCTGACTTAAACTTAAAGTGATATGACAAGAGGCCACTGCCCTCACATAGTATAATGAATAGAACACGGGTCTATTCAATTCAGTATATGCTACGAATTCTATAACAGGGCACCAATGAATAGGGAAGCTTGGCTATTCGATTCTGTTTTCAATAGCTTGCACCTGCAATTTTTGAATAGTTACGTAACAAACTACTCAGCTCTTTCTGACATGGCATCAATAATATTAGTGAATTGAAAACAAACCTGACCCTCCCTTCATTGAGCGACTTTTGTTTGGTCAAATGCGAGGATTACCAAAGAGGAGGTAATAATAGCATTCCTGACATTGCAACAATGACCGCGTTATTTTGATGCATTGTCCCTAAACCTACCGAAGAGGCTCTTTGTCCTTGTCTGGGAGGACAAGCACTTTAGACTGGGGCTGTAGTCTCATTTAAAGAAAGGGAAACAATTTCGGGACAGTTCAAAATAATGCTTGGAAATGGAAATTCAATGATACCGTTTTAAAACCAGAAAGATATGGTTTGAGGACAAGAAGCAGGATGTAATTCATTGCTCGGCAATCTTGACTGTATTTAAAACAGAGCATCCAATATACCTGATATTTAATAGTACTGTACAATGTCAATTAAATAAAATAACTAAATAAACAAACAAATAATGGACCTCTTTAGCCAAGACTGTGGATTTTTATTGTTGAGCACTAATGATTCTGCTCGGTCATACAGGCTAGGTGGGGGAATGCTTTCAATAGACTTAAATTTGAAAGGCCCTTTGTATCACTTCGTGCAAAATGACATAGGGCGCTTCTAATAAATTTATACGAGAAGTAAATCCCTGTTCATCATTGTTTTCGTGTTGCAAAGTTGTTTACAGACTGAAAAAGGGATAGTACGGGACTGTAGAGAGTGAATAAAACTAGGAAATTATAATTGAAAATGTAAAACAACGTTGTAAACCTAGCAATAAGAGGCTCTTGAATCCAGTTTTTAAATGGACATGGCTTTGGGGCTACCCGCTACCGCCGCCAGGCTACGCTGTCGATTGCCAGCTAGCTGTCGATTGCCAGCTAGCTGTCGATTGCCAGCTAGCTGTCGATTGCCAGCTAGCTGTCGATTGCCAGCTAGCTGTCGATTGCCAGCTAGCTGTCGATTGCCAGCTAGCTGTCGATTGCCAGCTAGCTGTCGATTGCCAGCTAGCTGTCGATTGCCAGCTAGCTGTCGATTGCCAGCTAGCTGTCGATTGCCAGCTAGCTGTCGATTGCCAGCTAGCTGTCGATTGCCAGCTAGCTGTCGATTGCCAGCTAGCTGTCGATTGCCAGCTAGCTGTCGATTGCCATAATTAATTAGAACATATATACATCTATACACAATAGAGCCAAACTCCACTCACCGGCCAATACTATAACGACGAAGCAACACTAACGCTATATGCTGTCGTCCGACCCCTGATCATAAACAAAGCTTCCACCTTATTGTAGAAAGTGTAGTTCATCAAAATAAGGAGATTTCACCACATGCAGCCCTAAAGGTAACAACAATAAAATAACAATTCTTACTTCACAATAATGACTTTGTGAAAACTGCATGACACAATGTAATTACATTCAAATATATATATATATATATAAATCCTCTTTGGTAGTCATTCTTTTAATTGACTTTGTTTAACAGAAACATGTTTCAATCTATATAAAGACAAACTTAAAATTAATTTAATTTGTCAGAGTAATTATCATTTCATCATTATCAGAAATTCAAGCATAATAATCTACTTTATAAAGCATGATACATGTAATGCAAATGAATAAGTTAATCACATTTATCATAAAGTGTCATTATATCAGTGTACATACAACATGGTTCAACAATCCTCAACTTTCACTATCTTATCTTCAGCAATTCATAAAATGTGACATCCATTAATAATATGAAATATATATAATAATCATCAGTTCCAACAGTATAAATCAACTTACATGAATTGTGATCTGCCAGAAGTAAATAACAATCTCCATTAGCAGGCACAAATTAGTGCTTCTCTCCTCTCTCTCCAATCTACACTGTACAATGTCTCTCTGTCCCTGCTATAGCAGCTCTGGGTGCACAGACCCCGAACAAAAGAAAATCACTCATCCACTAAAACTTACAATAGGATCCCCAATCATGCCTATAGGGTATCAGTACATTGGGCAATACAGGTACCCCCAAAAAGGCGGAAAGTAAGGCTATTGTCTGATGAGGAAGGGGGGGGGTAGCTTACATTGTAGACTGCTCCACCTACAATTCCTTATACACTAATGCACCAATACACTATAATACATTATGGCATAATTACCTCAACATTCCATATTACAAACATATTCCCCGCAATTAATGTCATAATGTTTGATAAAAATGATACATTATTACGAGCCAAATTCCAAATCGTCACCTTTCCCCGCAATTAATGTCATACTGTTTGACCGAGATTTTAGCGATACATGAAAATATAAGCAATGAAAATCTTTCTATAATACACTTCCCCGCAATTAATGTCATAATGTTGACCAAAATGTTTTTCAGTAGTATATGAAAATACAAAACAATGTTCTTTAAAACATTATGCATAGCATTATAACACATCACATCTTAATCTGACAAGTAAATATTTAATTCTTGTCTTCGAATTCAAACTCTCTTCTTTTTTTTTTTTTTTTTTTTTACTCTTGTAACGCCGATATTGGAAGCCGCAGTGGATTTCTATGCTGGCCTTTAGTTACTCGATTAGACCTCCTACGCGGTACCTCGGGACTGGGGTTCTCAAGTTGAGAGTTGTCTATCTCATCAGGTACTATATCTCCGCTCAGATTGCCAGCTAGCTGTCGATTGCCAGCTAGCTGTCGATTGCCAGCTAGCTGTCGATTGCCAGCTAGCTGTCGATTGCCAGCTAGCTGTCGATTGCCAGCTAGCTGTCGAGATGGGACCCCCCTGGCGATTAATGTGGGGGGGGGGGGGGGGGGGGGGGGGGGGGGGGGGGGGGAGGGGGTGATTTTTCAAATTTTCGAGGGCCAAACAAACAAAAATAGTGCTCTCTACCCCTCCCCCTTCCCCCCTCTACCACTGAGTGAAATATCGGCCGGCACGATTTTTTTTTATTTCAGCACATTAAATTTCAAATTGATTTCAAGTTTGGGGCCCCCTAAGAAATCCTGAATCCGCGCCGATACCCACCCCCCCCCCCCAAATAAAAATCCCAGGCTCCCCTGTAGTTTTTTCTACATTGCTCCCCCCCCCCCCCCCGCAAAAGGTCCGTTTTTTCTCATTGTTTTACATCAACAACAACAACAACAATAATATTTATTATAAAACTCCAAAATTGGTTTGTTTTTATAAATAATAATATCTGCCCGGCAAAATATTTGAAGTAAGTATGTAGATTAAGATCATCAGACTTTATTACACTGATGAGGTGTATTGGGTTCTCTTCACTTGTCTCTTTCTGGCTCTCTTTCTCTCTCTCTCTCTCTCTCTCTCTCTCTCTCATTGGGACTGAAAAAGTATTGAATGTAATAATGTTTGATAAATAGATAAAACAGGATTCCTGTCCTTCTTGTACTTCGTAAATATAATACTTTACCTTGCTTACAAGTTAATTGCAAGCTCATTGTATAGATCAATTAAGAGAATAGCAATAAATATGGACTTTGAGTGAGATCAAAATGGGTTTGACATCAGTTTTTTCTTTTCAAAGATTAAAAAAAAAGCAACAGCTGGGTGTCGAACCCGATACCTTCCAGTTACCAGGCGATTGCCTACCCACTAGACTAAAGTGTCACATTGCTAATCTCCATGTTTTTTTTTCCATACTTATACTTATTGTTGTAGATGTAGCAAAAGAAAAAAACGCAACAGCTGGGGGTCGAACCCGATACCTTCCAGTTATCAGACGATTGCCTACCCACTAGACTAAAGTGTCACATTGCTAATCTTCATGTATTCTTCATACTTACACTAATTGTTGTAGATGTAGCAAAAGATGTTTTCTGACTAATTCAGAGAGTCGCTTGTTAAAGAAAGAGTATTACATGCTATTTTTTCTTTGTTGAGGGGGGGGGGGGTGTCCCCTTTAAAAAAGAGATGACAAGTAAATATTATGGAGTGAAGGAAAAAAATAACATGGGTTTATATAAAGGAGAAACTGAGACTCGAACCGAGTACATTGCATTGTGAAGCGATCACTTTTATCCACAAGACCATTTTGCCTCACCGTGATAACTGGTTCGCTTTTTGTTGTTAACACTTTCTGCATGCTAATGACTTTACAAAATGTGCCGATTTACTGATTTGACGCTTTCGGGATTATTGCCCGTATTTTTTTTCTTTCAGTTTACTGATATTACTGATATAATAGTGAGGTTTTATGTTTATTTCATTTAATTTGCAAACTGCTGACTTAAACTTAAAGTGATATGACAAGAGGCCACTGCCCTCACATAGTATAATGAATAGAACACGGGTCTATTCAATTCAGTATATGCTACGAATTCTATAACAGGGCACCAATGAATAGGGAAGCTTGGCTATTCGATTCTGTTTTCAATAGCTTGCACCTGCAATTTTTGAATAGTTACGTAACAAACTACTCAGCTCTTTCTGACATGGCATCAATAATATTAGTGAATTGAAAACAAACCTGACCCTCCCTTCATTGAGCGACTTTTGTTTGGTCAAATGCGAGGATTACCAAAGAGGAGGTAATAATAGCATTCCTGACATTGCAACAATGACCGCGTTATTTTGATGCATTGTCCCTAAACCTACCGAAGAGGCTCTTTGTCCTTGTCTGGGAGGACAAGCACTTTAGACTGGGGCTGTAGTCTCATTTAAAGAAAGGGAAACAATTTCGGGACAGTTCAAATAATGCTTGAAATGGAAATTCAAATGATACCGTTTTAAAAACCAGAAAGATATGGTTTGAGGACAAGAAGCAGGATGTAATTCATTGCTCGGCAATCTTGACTGTATTTAAAACAGAGCATCCAATATACCTGATATTTAATAGTACTGTACAATGTCAATTAAATAAAATAACTAAATAAACAAACAAATAATGGACCTCTTTAGCCAAGACTGTGGATTTTTATTGTTGAGCACTAAATGATTCTGCTCGGTCATACAGGCTAGGTGGGGAATGCTTTCAATAGACTTAAATTTGAAAGGCCCTTTGTATCACTTCGTGCAAAATGACATAGGGCGCTTCTAATAAATTTATACGAGAAGTAAATCCCTGTTCATCATTGTTTTCGTGTTGCAAAGTTGTTTACAGACTGAAAAAGGGATAGTACGGGACTGTAGAGAGTGAATAAAACTAGGAAATTATAATTGAAAATGTAAAACAACGTTGTAAACCTAGCAATAAGAGGCTCTTGAATCCAGTTTTTAAATGGACATGGCTTTGGGGCTACCCGCTACCGCCGCCAGGCTACGCTGTCGATTGCCAGCTAGCTGTCGATTGCCAGCTAGCTGTCGATTGCCAGCTAGCTGTCGATTGCCAGCTAGCTGTCGATTGCCAGCTAGCTGTCGATTGCCAGCTAGCTGTCGATTGCCAGCTAGCTGTCGATTGCCAGCTAGCTGTCGATTGCCAGCTAGCTGTCGATTGCCAGCTAGCTGTCGATTGCCAGCTAGCTGTCGATTGCCAGCTAGCTGTCGATTGCCAGCTAGCTGTCGATTGCCAGCTAGCTGTCGATTGCCAGCTAGCTGTCGATTGCCAGCTAGCTGTCGATTGCCAGCTAGCTGTCGATTGCCAGCTAGCTGTCGATTGCCAGCTAGCTGTCGAGATGGGACCCCCCTGGCGATTAATGTGGGGGGGGGGGGGAGGGGGTGATTTTTCAAATTTTCGAGGGCCAAACAAACAAAAATAGTGCTCTCTACCCCTCCCCCTTCCCCCTCTACCACTGAGTGAAATATCGGCCGGCACGATTTTTTTTTATTTCAGCACATTAAATTTCAAATTGATTTCAAGTTTGGGCCCCCCTAAGAAATCCTGAATCCGCGCCGATACCCACCCCCCCCCCCCCAAATAAAAATCCCAAGGCTCCCCTGTAGTTTTTTCTACATTGCTCCCCCCCCCCCCCCGCAAAAGGTCCGTTTTTTCTCATTGTTTTACATCAACAACAACAACAACAATAATATTTATTATAAAACTCCAAAATTGGTTTGTTTTTATAAATAATAATATCTGCCCGGCAAAATATTTGAAGTAAGTATGTAGATTAAGATCATCAGACTTTATTACACTGATGAGGTGTATTGGGTTCTCTTCACTTGTCTCTTTCTGGCTCTCTTTCTCTCTCTCTCTCTCTCTCTCTCTCATTGGGACTGAAAAAGTATTGAATGTAATAATGTTTGATAAATAGATAAAACAGGATTCCTGTCCTTCTTGTACTTCGTAAATATAATACTTTACCTTGCTTACAAGTTAATTGCAAGCTCATTGTATAGATCAATTAAGAGAATAGCAATAAATATGGACTTTGAGTGAGATCAAAATGGGTTTGACATCAGTTTTTCTTTTCAAAGATTAAAAAAAAAGCAACAGCTGGGTGTCGAACCCGATACCTTCCAGTTACCAGGCGATTGCCTACCCACTAGACTAAAGTGTCACATTGCTAATCTCCATGTTTTTTTTTCCATACTTATACTTATTGTTGTAGATGTAGCAAAAGAAAAAAACGCAACAGCTGGGGGTCGAACCCGATACCTTCCAGTTATCAGACGATTGCCTACCCACTAGACTAAAGTGTCACATTGCTAATCTTCATGTATTCTTCATACTTACACTAATTGTTGTAGATGTAGCAAAAGATGTTTTCTGACTAATTCAGAGAGTCGCTTGTTAAAGAAAGAGTATTACATGCTATTTTTTCTTTGTTGAGGGGGGGGGGGTGTCCCCTTTAAAAAAGAGATGACAAGTAAATATTATGGAGTGAAGGAAAAAAAATAACATGGGTTTATATAAAGGAGAAACTGAGACTCGAACCGAGTACATTGCATTGTGAAGCGATCACTTTTATCCACAAGACCA